ATCCCCCTCCTGGGCTTTGGGACTTCCTGCCCCTGCAACTCCTGAATTCCTCCTGGTAGGCCCAGAGAGAGCGAGGTGGCCAAGGCCAGCTGGGACCAGGGGCCTGGAGGGCAGGCAGTTCTGTGGGTGGGTGGATGGAGGCCAACCAGCCGCTGCCTTGACCCTCTGCCCTGCTCGGGGCTTAGAGTTCCAGCCAGAACCCCCAGGGAGCAGGAGGGAGGACTTGGCCCCCAGCAACGGCCCAGGCCAAGGCAAACGCAGCCGCCCACTCGGCAGGAAGACACGATGGAGCCCAGGCTCCAGAGACCCAGCTGGCTCCAGGGCCCCTCAGGGGCCGCAGGGTCCCCTAACATCCAGCCCCCCAGGGGACGGCTCCTCCCCAAGGCTGGCCAGACCCCAGCGTCTTCTCGGCATCTGCACTCTCGGGCCATCCAGGCCTGGGGCTCTAAGACCCACGGAGCTGCCTCTGCCTCCTGGTGCTGTCCCCTCAGCCTGAAGCACCCTTCCCTCTTTGGTCAGCTCCTACCAGCCTTCAGGTCTCAGTGAGGCCCTTCCTGACCCCGGAGACGAGGCTCGTGCGCCCCACTGCGCGTTCTCAGAGCATACATCCTCATTCGCAGCACTTCTCAGTACAGGCGGCCTTCTGGTGGGCCCCGAGCCCCCCAGGACAGGGGCCGCACGTGGCCCTGTTCACAGCTGCTTCCTCTGGCCAGTGAGCCGAGGCTGGGTGACCACCAAGCAAACGGCTAAAGACAAGCAAGAAGAAATCAACTCCGCGCAAGGGCATCGCGGACCTGTGGGGGAGGGAGCGGACAACTCGTCCACTTGGGGACTCAGGTCTTTCTGTGGTTCCAGATTCTCAGTGATCCACGAAGAGTGTGAGCGGGGAGGAGGCTCCCCCAGTCCACCGAAAGCCACAGCCCACGCTGTTCCTCCCATGACCGAGGCTTGAAGCACAGGGACCAGCCTAGCCCAGACTCTTCATTCCCAAGTGCAGGAGTCAGGGGGAGGGTCCCGGGGGCCACCATTTATTGACTTGTGTGACCCTAAGCAACTGACCTCACCCTCAAGAGCCTCAGCTTCACTGTCTGTTCATGAACAAAGCATGCCAGTTTGGGATGCTGCCTGGGCACGAGGTGAGAGCCCTGGAATGGTCTGTCCACGCCCCCTACACGCCCACTGCTCCCAGGCCTCAGCCCAGCGGCCTCCCTGAGCCTTGGTGGTGGGCTGGGGCTGCCAGACCCCGCTGCCGCCTTTCATCCCAGACAGGAAGGCTCGGATCAGAGACGACGGGAGGATCTGAACAGATGTCTGAGAGCCACGGGGGGCTGGGAACAAGGCGACCTCCGTCTCCTCCCCTGCCCCTCACCCCATTTCCTCCAGGGGACCCTGGGCCAGAGCTGGCCGCCCACTCTCCCCTCCCATGAGCCTTCAAGGAGAGGGAGCAGTGGGGGACGGAGCCAGCAGAGGAAGCCTAAGGACCAGGAGGAGAGGCTGTCAGACAGCCTCCACCGGGGACACCAGCCACCCCAGACCTCTCCTTCCCCCGCTATTGTGCAAGCCATGGCTTAGCCTGGTGCAAACCTAAGTCACAGGAAACCAGAAAGAGGCCAGATCTGGGGCTGCTGGGCCCCTGGCGCCCCTTGTGCGTAAACAGAGCCCGGGGTCAGGATGTCTTTGAGGAGGCAGGGTGGCCGGGACCAGCATTTCCCAATCCCCGCAGGAGGGCCCACCCGCAGGGGAGCCTCGGCCCTGAGCTGCCTCAGCAGCCATGCTGCTCACACATGAGGACTGCCATGGCTCCGACCCGGGCTCATGAACCCAAACAGCTGCTCAGGAGGTGGCAACTCTCATCCGCCCAGTATAGGAGAAGAAACCGAGGCTGAGAGAGGGGACACTGCTGGCCCAGTGAGTGGCTCTGCTGGGACTAAGTCCAAAGCCCCTTTTCGTGATTTCTACCCTATTCTGCCTCCCAGAGCAGGCAAAAGAGAACGTTGAGCTGGGCCCAGAGCACAGGACAGAGGAGGTGACCCTATCACTCATTCATTCATTTGTTCATTCTTTGCTCACTGGACAAACACTTCTGGACTCTCTCTTGTATTCCTGATTTTCGGTGACAAAACAGAAAGAATGCTCACGGAGGGTAAGACACAGCAGGGAGTGTGTGTGTGTGTGTGTGTGTGTGTGTGTGTGTGTGTGTGTGTGTGTGTGTGTGTCTGTGCATGACTTTGTTCTGCATTGACTGTGTGGAGGCTCTTAGGTTCCTTGCTTTTAGAAGGATCAGAGCCACTCTGCTTCTAAAGTTCTAGGCAGAGTTCAACGAGGTCCCACAGCTCAGCATAGGGCCTGGCACACAGTAGATGCTCAGTAAACAGGAACTGCCCCCAATCCAAAAACTTGGCTGTTTCTCCCACCTTCCTCCCACCTTGTTTGTGCCTGGCTGAGCCCCTTCCTTGGCCCCTGGGTTCCCAGGACACATGTGACACCCTTTGTCATGGAGCACGTGTCTCCTCCGCAACTCCCCACCCTGTCCCAGATTCCTTCCCTGTTGCCTTGGGGTCCTGCCAGCTCCATCCAGGCAACTCCCCTAGCCTCCCCCCTCCCCTGGTTTCCTGTCCCCTCCCCCTTTGTCCCATCCAGAAACCCCACCTAGTGATCCAGATAGGCCGAGAGAAGGTGACGTGGCCCCAGAAGAAGGGAGCTTCTGGGGTGGCGGCCAGTACCTGTGTGCTCTGCAGAGGGGGTTCACAGTCCTCTCCCTACCCCACTCCAATGTCACTTTCCAGCCCTCCCCAGGACACTGTCACCAGGCTGCGGTGGAGCCAACACAGTTGATAGGTGGTGGAACTCACATCAAAGACTTTATGCTCTGACCTCTGATGTCCATGAATGTCCATGCTCAGATGGTCCCTTAGCAGCTGTGTGCCTTTGGGCAAAACAACCTCTCTGAGCCTCAGTTTTCTCATCTGAAACATAGGACACAGTCCCATCATCTCTAATCCAAACTCCCAGGCTCCAGATGTGTTTGGGAATTGAGAACTTTTCTTTTATTTTTGAGACAGTTTTGCTCTTACTGCCCAGGCTGGAGTGCAATGGCATGATCTTGGCTCACCGCAACCTCCGCTTCCTGGGTTCAAGCGATTCTCCTGCCTCAGCCTCCCAAGTAGCTGGGATTACAGGCATGCGCCACCACACCCAGCTAATTTTGTATTTTTAGTAGAGCCGAGATTTCTCCATGTTGGTCAGGCTGGTTTCAAACTCCCAACCTCATGTGATTCGACCACCTTGGCCTCCCAAAGTGTTGGGATTACAGGCGTGAGCCACCCTGCCTGGCCTGAGAGCTTTTCAGAGTTTAGAAAGTTGATGCAGGCCTTATACCAAATATTGTGCTAATACCCCCAGTGGGGTCTGGGGCTGCAGGCTGTACTCAAATGAGATTTCAGCAGCAAAACCAATGAATATTCATTCTCACTAGGATAAACATAGCTTATAAATAGCCTCAGGTCAGCTTTAGCAGCCAAAATGAGTTATAAAAATAATTTGAGTTTTCAAAGCTTCGGGAGACTGACCTCAGAGATAAGGGGGTATAACTAGTGATACCAGCCCCTCCCGAAAGGGCAGTGGGGACTGCAGCAGAAAGACACTTAGCGCATACCCAGCCACAGAGGACATGGGAATCGGGCTGAACTTGGAGGGAGGAGAGAGCATTCCAGCTCCCTGCAGTGGGGGCAGGGGCTGAGAACCAGGGCTGGGTCCAGGCTCCTGGAGATCTAAGGGCTCCCGCACCTCCGCAAGTCATGAGCAGGGCAGAGAGGCCACGCCGCCCATAGCAGCTACCAAGCAGCAGGAAGACACTTGATCCTCCTGCCCCGAGGGCTAAACTTTGCCTGTGTAGTGATGACCGTCACAGCTCCCATCTTCCAGAACCCACCCAAGGACTGCAGGCAGCCTCGGGTCCACTGAGTAGCTGAAGTTGACCAGAAGACCCAAGATCAGGAGCCCCTGCCCTAGAGGGTGACCAACCCACCCCCTGGTGTGTCATCTCCTCGACAGTTCCGGTCTAGGATGGAAAAGCATTAAGGACACTGTAAATGCAACCTAGAACCCCAGCTCCGCCAGGGACTCCGGCCCCTCCCACCCACGGGGCACCCCTCAGTCTATCCTCCTGGCTACCAAGGGGTACAGGTCCTGTTTTTCTTTCTTTTTTTTTTTTTCCTTTCTTCATTCTTTCTTTTTATTAAGAGAGAGGGTCTCACTCTGTAGCCCAGGCCGGAGTGCAGTGGCACCATCATAGCTCACTGCAGCCTCGACCTCCCAGTCTCAAGTGATCCTCCTGCCTCAGCCTCCTGAGTAGCTGGGACCATAGGTGTGCACCACCACACCCAGCTATTTCTCTTTTCTTTTTATTTTTTCTTTTCTTCTTTTTTCTTCTTTCTTAGACGGAATCTAGCTCTGTTGTCCAGGCTGGAGTGCAATGGTATCATCCCAGCTCACAGCAACCTCCGTCTCCCAGATTCAAGCGATTCTCTTGCTCCATCCTCCCGAGTAGCTGGGACTACAGGTAGGTACCACCACACCTGGCTAATTTTTCTATTTTTAGTAGAAACGGGTTTCACCATGTTGGCCAGGCTGGTCTGGAACTCCTGCCATCAGGTGATCTGCCCACCTCTGCTTCCCAAAGTGCTGGGATTATAGAGGTAAGCCACTGCTCCTGGCCTATGTTTCTTTATTTTTTGTAAAGCTGGGATTTCACTACTTTGCCCAAGCTGATCTTGAACTTCTGGGCTCAAGCGACCCTCCCGGCTCGGCCTCCCAAAGTGCTGGGAATTCAGGAGTGAGCCATGGGGTCCAGCCTAGTTCCTATTTCTGAGCCCCCCCCCCCCCCATATCTGGGTCCTGCGCCGCAACGCCGGGCCGCACAGCAGCTCAGGCCCCAGCCTCGGGCCCCCAATGGGGTGGGGACAGGGGGTGCGGTGGCGGCGCCCCCAGCCCGCGCTTACCCAGGTTGAGGGTGATGTTGACCGAGTTGGGGTACTGCACGCCGAAGGCCATGGACGGGCTCTGCCACCAGGTGCTTTCGTCCTCGCTGTGGAAGTCGGTGAGGTAGGAGGCGTTGTGGTGGCGCTGGGGGTCGGCGGCGTCGCAGCGCTGGCACTGCGTCCCCGCGCCCGCGGCGCCCACGTGGGGGCAGAAGTCCTCGGGCGGGTTGCCGCACGTGTGCGAGGCCTCGACGCGCCGGCCGAACGCCGCGTTCTCGAACACCGGCAGGCAGCGCTGCGGGCGCCCCGCGCCGTCGTAGCACGCGCCCATGCCCGCGCCGGCCGCCCGCGGTGCCAGCAGCGCCAGTGCCAGTCCCAGCAGGAGCGCGGCCGCTGCCATGGTCAAGGGCACCGACGCCGCGCGCTCTGCCTGCCCCGCTCGGCTCGGGTGGGCGCGGACCGCTCGGGGCCCCCAGGACCCGCCTTCCCGGGCGGGCGGGACCGCGGCGGGGCGGGGAGGCTGGAGGGAGGCGCGGCCGGCGGCGGCCCCACCCGACCAAAAATACAAGGAACCGCGGCGTCCCCGGGCGCCCACCCCACCTGCTGGACGTGCCCGGCAGTGCGCGCTCAGGAGTCCGCCCGGGAGGCGGCCCCGGCCTCTTGGAGCCTCAGTTTCCTCGTCTGTGGAGTGGGGTCGGTAAAGACGCAGCCTCATTACCGCCGTTCAGAGGCTTCAGTGCTGCTCATTAAATAGAAACTGCTCACCGGTGCCTCGGAAGTCCCGCGATAAAAGGGGACACGAGGATCTCTACCTGATCGCTACGGTTTGCGTGTCTCCTCCTGGCAATAAAGCGCGCCCTGGCCAGGGCTGTGAGGTGGCTCCGCACGGCTCCTGCCGCCCGTCACCCTGAGAAGCACGCCTGCTGCCGGCGGCTCTCTGCTCTCACGGCAAAGAGATTCTAACCTGATATTTGTGACAGGGGTACCTGGTCTTGTCACAAATGTCACCCCGGAGAGGCCTTCCTTGTCTTCTGCCCCGGCCCCCATAAATGCCCCCTTTACTCCGCATTAATTCACATTAGTAAATCGAAGGAGAAAAGTCATTCGATGAAATGTAGCAGCCAGGCCGTGCGCCGGTGGCTCACGCCTGTGATCCCAGCACTTTGGGAGGTGGAGGCAGGAGGATAACTTGAGGCCAGGAGTTCAAGACCAACTTGAGCAAAATGGTGAGACCCTATCGCTGTAAAAAAAATAAAAAACGGCCGGGCGCGGTGGCTCAAGCCTGTAATCCCAGCACTTTGGGAGGCCGAGGCGGGTGGATCACGAGGTCAAGAGATCGAGACCATCCTGGTCAACATGGTGAAACCCCGTCTCTACTAAAAATACAAAAAAAAATTAGCTGGGCATGGTGGTGCGTGCCTGTAATCCCGGCTACTCAGGAGGCTGAGGCAGGAGAATTGCCTGAACCCAGGAGGCGGAGGTTGCGGTGAGCCGAGATCGTGCCATTGCACTCCAGCCTGGGTAACATGAGTGAAACTCCGTCTCAAAATAAAATAAAATAAAATAAAAATAAAAAAATAAAAAAAAAAAAACTTAGCTCTGCGTCCTGGCGAAAGCCTGTAGTCCCAGCTACCTGGGAGGCCGAGGTGGAAGGATCCCTTGAGCTGGGGAGGTCAGGCTGCAGTGAGCTGTGATTGTACCACTGCACTCCAGGCTGGCCAACAGAGACAGACCCTGTCTCAGGGAAAAAAAAAAAAAAAAAAGGCAGCCATTACCAGAAAAACTCTAAGGAAGCTAGAAATAAATTTCCTGGCTGGGCGAGGTGGCTCATGTCTGTAATCCCAGCACGGTGGGAAGCCAAGGCAGGTGGATCACCTGAGGTCAAGAGTTGGAGACCAGCCTAGCCAACATGGTGAAACCCGTCTCTACTAAAAATACAAAAAATTAGCTGGGTTTGGTGGTGCATACCTGCAATCCCAGCTACTCAGGAGGCTGAGGTGAGAGAATCACTTGAACCCAGGAGGCGGAGGTTGCAGTAAGCCGAGATCGTGCCATTGCACTCCAGCCTGGGCAACAAGAGCGAAACTCCACCTCAAAAAAAAAAAAAAAAGAAAGAAAGAAAGAAAATTTTCAGGAACAAGATGAACTGTAGTGGGTGGTTCACTACCAGTTCTTTACACGTGATTAAAACAATACAGTTCTGGAAAGGACTACAGAGTAGACCCATGGAATAAGTTATTTTCAGAACTATATCTAAGTAGAGTTAGTATATGATATTACCACTGGTACTTAAGGTTATTTTGGAAATTCTAGCTAATGCTATAAGACAACAAATGTAAAAGATATAAATGCTTGTATTTTCTATTTACCTGAAGATACATCTAGAAAATCTAAAAGATTCTACTGACGGCTAATTAAAATTAAGAGCTCAATAAGATGGCTGACTACAGGATGATGGAGTGTGAAAATGAATGCTGGCAACAGGCATTCTCTGGCCAGACGCGGTGGCTCAGGCCTGTAACCCCAGCACTTTGGGAGGCCGAGGCAGTCGGATCACCTGAGGGTCAGGAGTTCGAGACCAGCCTAGGCAACATGACGAAACCCCAAGTCTACTAAAAGTACACAAAATAGCCAGACGTGGTGGTACGCCTGTAATCCCAGCTACCTGGAAGGCTGAGGCACAAGAAGCGCTTGAATCCAGAAGGCAGAGGTTGCAGTTAGCCGAGGTCGTGCCACTATGCTCCAGCCTGTGCAACAGAGCAAGACCCTGTTTCCAAAAAAAAAAAAAAAAAAAATACTGATACCAGCAATAATGTAGAAAATGGTAGAGCACTTAACAATAAATCTAGTATGACATCACAAGATATAAATGAAGCAAATTATATAACACTACTGAGAGACAGAAGCCCGAAGAAACCAGCATCTGTATTCAAGGATTTCCAGCTGTTTAAATAGATAAATTCTGCCCAAGTTAAAATATCAATTTAATGTAATCCCAAATTATTTTTTGATGGTGTTATGGAGGCTTCTTCATTAAAGTTTTCTTTTACGGTCAAGAACATGATTGCAGCGGACTCTCGGTGGCCCACCCCACTCCCCTGAGCTGGGCTGTGCGCCCATCCAAAGCCAACTCATCTGTCAGGCACAGGAGACACGGCAGCCTGCAGGAATTTTAGAAATGCACAAACATTGCTCTAATTTCTTTAAAGTCAGAAGAAACAAATGAAAAAAAGCTATTTTAGGCTAAAGAACATGTTTTAACATATGATATTAATATACCTGTCTTTAGATCAAAGCAGTTGTCAAATAGAATTTTTTAAAATGTTAGTGCCTGGGAGGAAGGTGTTCCTTATGACCAGCTAGTGGATGATGAGAAAATCCCAGCCTGACTCCCAGGTGAGCCACCTCAGTGTGCAGTTGTGGGACCAGAATGAACTGCCACTGCCCTTCCAGCCGACTCTGGGGTGGCCCTGAGGATAGTGGTCCCAAGGCGCGGTGTTTGTGCACCTGGGAAAGAGTCACAGGAACTCACGGGCAGTGGCAAGTGGCTTAGCAACTCATGTAGCAAGATTGGTGGCAGGGGCATGCAGACGGACCTGTAGGAGGGACCGGCTTTGTTCTGGACCCTCCAGAGCTCAGGACCGTGACGCAGGGGGAGGCGATGAGGACAAGGAGACCAGCATCCTTCCTCCCAGGCTCCACCGCAAAGCAGACCCTGCCCTCACCGCCCTAATTCTCAGTCGAGGACTCTGCTTGGATGAATTAATTGGTCATCTTCTCAATGCAATCTGTGTGACACAGAAGCCATTGGCCACATGGTGTTCAGTGACAGACCTGGGCTTGGATTCTATCTGCACCACCTGTGTGGCTGTGGAGGGTAATGAAGCCTTGGGTCCCCCTCCTTCTTGGATGCCTCCCTGATATGCGCAGATTGCCACCCTAGGAGCTACTCTTCCTGGCCACTTTGCCACTGGACTCCGGCATGCAGAGATCCCACCAGCCGGGCGTCTTCACTTGAGATGTAAAAGGTGGGAGTGAGCAAAGGCCATCTTCTGCCCTTCTGGTGGATTTTTCTGGTGGCATGTGAGGTCACAGAGAAGGGAGGTTTTCAGCCCGACCTGCTTCCCATTCTCCAGCCCTGCGTGTGCTGAGAGGCCTCTGTGTGGTGGCAGTAGCAGGAACAATGGCTTACTGATACTTATGTCCAGTCCCTGGATTGCAGGCACAGCTGTGAGTTGTCAGAGCCAACAGCAGTGGCAGCCTCAGAGGTGGTGGCAGCGTCCCTGGTGGGTCAGTTCTGCAGTGTCCCAGGTGTCAGCCCCTGTAGTCCTCCCAACCATCCCCTGAGCACTCAGTGCCCTGTGTTCAATCCTTCCTGTTGGAAATACACAAGCACTTGGCAAGTGCTTGGTCCAGAGCTCAGCGTGGAGTGAGTGCTCCATAAATTGTTATTGCTATGATTCCCACAAGATCCTGCCCTTATGAGCCCAAGGTCTGGTCAGAGAGAGAAAGAGCTCATTAAAAAATAGCCTGATTGGCCAGGCATGGCGGCTCATGCCTGTAATCTCAACACTTTGGGAAACTGAGGCTGATGGATCGTTTGAGCCCAGGAATTCAAGACCAGCTTGGGCAACATGGCAGAACCCCGTCTCTACAAAAAATACAAAAATTAGCCAGGCGTGGTGTTACACAGCTGTAGTCCTAGCTACTCAGGAGGCTGAGGTGGGAGGATCACTTGTGCCTGGAAGGTGAAGGCTGCAGTGAGCTGTGATGGCACCACTGCACTCCAGCCTGGGCAGCAGAGTAAGATCCTGTCTCAAAGAAAAAGAAGAAAAAGAAAAAGAAAAAGAGAAAAAAGAAAAAAAGAAAGAAGAGAAAGAGAAAGAAAAAGAAAGAAAGAAAGGAAAGAAAGAAAGGACAGAAAGATGGAAGGAGGGAGGGAGGGAGGAAGGAAGGGAGGGAGGGAGGGAGGGAGGGTATTTTTTTTAGTTAAAGAAAAGAAGGAAGCAGCTGGAGGACACTCCAAGGCTTGTTCAAACCTGTTTTATAAGAGTGAGTTGTTGTCATTTGTCCCTCAGCAAATGCACTGTTGCCCACTGTCAACCCCCCACTTCCTGCCCCCCGGGGCCCGCAGTCAGTGAGGCAGAGGCCTGATGTGTGTAGATCTGGGAGCACAGGCTGACACATGCAACAAAAGGCAGTGCCTGGAACCGGGGCAAGGACGGTGGGGCGGCCCGTTCTGCCTGGAGCTGGAGGACGCTTCCCGGAAGAGGCGGCATGTGGGCTGAGCTGTAAAGGATGAGTGGAGGAAAGGACGTCCCAGGCAGGAGCACGCGCAAAGGCCCAGAGGCGTGCACAAGCAGGGGAGGTCTGCGTGTGTTTGCAGCGTTGGGGAGGGAGCTGGTCCTGGGGATTGAGGCCAGAGCAGGCGCAGAGGCCAGAGGGCGTGGGCTTCTTGGCAGTGGTAGTTTGTCC